CATATCTAATGTTTTTAAAACAAGCATTAGATTTGTCCTTTTTTGTAAACGTTGCTATGCTTTGCACGTCTTGTTTATAAGATTTTTAAAAGAAACAATATTGTATTGTATTGTATTGTCTATAGAGAGTAGAGCCCGATATCAGCAAATGTAAACATTTGATACTAGCCAAACAGAGAAATGTCTGTCAGTGATTTATCTTTAAAATTTTGGATTTAGTACATAAGTCGTATTCATTAATTATAGTAAGGCTTTAGCCTTTTTCTTGGTCGGATAATGTTTTCCTAATATGCACACAACTAGGCTATAATCTACATCACAAATTTACAGTGTGAGACGCGCACAGACTGCCATACGAATACACATAAATTTTCGAGTTTTCAACTGCTACTAAGGCTACTATTAAACAGTTTTCATTGTGTCTCAATCATCTTTCTAGTTCAATAAGTTCATTTATATTTCTATATTTATTTGATAGTGGCATATATAGTGATACATGTAGGCTATTTACACACAAGCAATCCTGGATATGATAGAGACGATACAAGCTGTCCATTAAAAAATAACGGTATTCTATTTCACAAAGCAAAAAATTTAAATCTCACTTGTATTATTAAGAATATATATAAAGCAGAAAATTAAAGCTTGTGTCAAAACGAAAGCTGTTTATAAAATTTATAAATGTGGTATAAACACAATAGTATTACAGTAAGACAAATATATTGTCGTTTGACTTATCTTTGATGTATGACTTTACTGTAATACCGTAGATTTTCAACAGACAGCTAGACTTTGACATATACCGTGATCGTTGAGATCTTGCAGGAAATTTTATAGTCTTTTGACGGGATTTAAGTTTTGTGATAAGGCCTTTATAATCAACAATGTCGATACAGTTGGCGTCTTGGCGATATTTCGGAAATCAAAAGATCTCGCTATTTCGTTCCAATTCCACATCTCATCAATAAATATATTCTTTTGGTCCGAGTATCAGGATATACTTTAATACCAACAGTTAAATAAATATAATAAACCACATTGGTCGGTCTAGAGAAGTGAATTTTCTTGTAGGCTTATTGCCACGCTGCCCAGGCAGCCCGTGTGCTGTCTTTGTAAGTTGAAATCTGATCCAACTTGCTTGAATTGTAACTCGACACTGGATTATAGAGCAGAAAGTCACATCACGATAAATATTAATTTTTAATTGCAGTTCTCTTCACGATTTCTTGTTGCAAATTTAAATTTCACACAAAATTGCAAATATTGTTACAAATGCGACAAACACGCTCCTCTCCCACCCTGCCCATAGTATCATTTGAATTTATCACCCAGAATCTGGGTGACACGTGACCAGCCGAAACCAGGGTCTTTCCTTCGCCTCGCGCCGTTCTAAGAAAGACCCTGGGAACGAGGTTGATTTTAAAAACTGCACTAATTTTGCGAGATATAAACAGAACCAAAAATATTGCGCTTGTTCTATCAGGAGAGTAAATTTAATCGTACAGTACTGTGGCGCGCGATCGCCAATCGTGTCAGTTCTACTTGCTTCACCTGATGTTAGCTTCTTTAGAGCCATTTCCTAAAAATGCTGTAACTGCTAAAACGCTGTGAGTTGCTAATAAAGGGTGCCTTTTTATTTTTAACGGCATTTTCGGGTTTAAATTCCGAATGAAATTATAAACGAATGAGAAAATAGCGACCGGAAGGAACAAACACTTGTCGATTTCAGTCACACTATATGTCGAAAATACCCAATATTCACGGCCTCCGTACGAACTCTAAATACAATAACCCAAACTAATTTTTTTATATGTTGTAGAAGAACATATAATTAGTTAATGACGTAAGTTTCGTGAGGAAAAAATCTGGGGCACTTAGTTAAAATGTTTTTTGCGTGGCAACGGTACATCGTAATTTTCGCTATTTGTGAATACCATACGATTCTAAATATCAGTTGTCAGGTTTTAATTAATAGCTAAAATTATTACTTTATGCCAAATCAAGTCTCAAACATCTCTTCTATCGATTTACAAACGTATAGTTTTCACATCTTTTTCCTACTTTGCATGCGTTACTTGTTTTTGAACCTGTTTGATTCAACTGAAAATTTGCATATTTTCGAGGTCGCCGACAGCCGAACGGTTTTTCTCGGATTTCTCGGAATTTTAACAGTTTTTGAAAAACAAACCATATCACGTTTGTTTACTTGCTAATGACTTCCAGCAAACCAAAAATGAGCAAAATCGAAATTTTGAATGTGTCCACGAATTCTCGATTTTGCTCCATTTTAGTGGACATCTGCTCTTAATCGTGTACGCTTCGTTTTCAGGTCATTGAGTTTAAAACACGTGTAAGCTGGCTACATTTTTAACGAAACGGCAATGATGAATCACTCATTTTAATATGCCAGAATACGAATCGTACACGATTAATCGTCATCGTAGCGTGTAAATGTAGTTTTACATAATATTTTAAATGCTAAATAGATAAGATGTATGATTGTAAAATCCTCGCATATCATCCCTTGTAATAGTTTAAACTGCATATGAGCCAGCCAACTTGACATTATTGTGAACTAAATCATTATACTCGTGGTTTAACGACATCTTTACTTTGTTAAAGCACATTTCTATTGGGTTAAGGTCCGGGGAGTATACAGGCGTATAAAGAAGTTCAATTCCGGCATCTGCTAGAAAATCTTCTAGAATCTCTCCGCCGTCATAGTGATGCACAATTAGGTTGTCCATCACAATTATGTCTCCAATTTCCAAAACAGGGCGTAGTGTAGTCAGGTCTGTTGCATTTGCAGCCTCATCAAAAAAGTTAAAAAATTCCGCAGTATTTGTCGCCCCGTCAATAAGGTTGAAGTATTCAACTCCATTAAGGGATACTAACATATTTAAAGTTGTGTTTGGGTTCTCTTTTTTTCGTACAACTTCCACGCATCTTTCGCCGATTGGAGAATTTCCATATAAGCGTGTTCCGACATTTGGGATTTTTATCCCTGCTTCATCAAAGAATTTAATTTTTTGAACATCTTTGGAGCTGAGATAGTCGGTAAACAGCTGTGTATACAACATGTTTTCGAACGTGAATCTCTCTGCTGCGATTTGCGTTATTTTTTTCCTTGTGTATTTTTTACCTGAAGGCAATTTGGATTTTATGGCTTTTGAAATTGCCGAAATAGAAATATCACCTCCTACGTCTCCGACTTGTTCCAATAATTGATAAATCTCCTTTAGACTAGTAGATCCCTTTTCTACTTTGAGTGTTTCTATAAGTTCAAGATCGTCGTCACTTAGCTTGGAACTATAGTCCCCCCTCGTTTTAGGCTTTCGAAATTGTATGACTCGCAAAATTGTGTCCAATTTTTTTTTACTGTATTCGCTGATACCTTTAAATCTTCAGCAACGTGCGAATAACTCGATGGGAAAATTCCGGTGGCTCTATCGCCTCCCATGCTAACGATATGACTAATAATGAGTGATCTATAATCATCAGAAAGAGAAACGCCAGGTTTATAGCACCTTCCAAACTTGTTTACAGCATCCATTTCTATTGAATTTTACAGTATAAAGTAAAAGTTTCGTGTTCAAAACAATTTGTTTGACGCCACGCCTACAAACGTTATTACAGCCAAACAAATAGTTTTGATTGACAAACTCTACCGGAAGAAACGTTTTAAAACCTTGTTATAAATGCACGCTTCACGGAAGCTCGAAAATGGTAGTGTGTTGATTGGACACACAGTACTTATAATAGACGACTTTAATGTGATAGAAATAAGTCAAATAACAGCACTGCAAAGAAAAATTCGCAAAATTTACGGACAAAAGAGAAAACACAGGCATCGAAGTTCAAATGGAGTGAGGAAATGGTGCAAAATTTACTTGACGGACTTCTACAATATAAAACACAAATGGAATTTAATAATTCTGACTTTAATGCTGACAAGAATAAACAATACAAAGCAGTGGGAAATTTTGGCTTCCAAGTATGCCGAAGATACAACACTTTTTGGTCCAAAGAACATCAAACCAATCAAAGACGGTGAAGATCGTGATGAGTATTTAAAGCGGCAGGAAGTTGATAAGTTAAAGATACGAAAAGGATATTCTATAGTATTGGAAAAAATCAAGGCTTTAAGGCAGAAATTTAGCAGCGCTGTGATATCTGGCAGACCATCAGGCTCTGGAAAGTTCTCAGGCTCAGGCTCATGGAGTTCTGTGATTTAATGGTCCTTATATGGGGTGGAGCCCCATGCACTGAGCCTCTTTCGTTTGGTGCTCAATCAGCTGGTCAAGCAGAAGAAAGTCAAGAACAAGGTGTTGATATATCTGGTAATTCTGGTTTGGGAAATAATGAAAATGAATACGATTCTGATGATTCCCTAACTAATTCTCTTGGTAATAACGTGGATAGTACCAGTACTAGTGCAAGCAATGAATCAACCAGCTGGAAACACCCAGTTTCAAACCCAGTTCCAATGCTTGTAGATGATAAATGAAAGCATATGGAACGACAGTTATCAGCAGCACAAAGAGATAAGCTACTCATGCAAGAAAGTAAAGAAGAGAAAGAATTTCGCAAAGATTTATCAAATTCTGTAAAAGAATGTAATAATATATTTGCTGAGTCTATGAAGGCCATGAGCGCCTCTATGATGGCACTTGCCTCATCAATGCAAAGATCATTTGAACATGGTGCAGCACCATAGTATATTAATCATTTTGCCCCTGCCCACATTTCGAGCCATATTCAGCCATAGTTAATAGAGGAGATGGTTTGGAAACTCGTTAGCATTACAATAAACCTCACTATCTATGTTTTTGTTCAGGTGTATGCAAAAATGTGGTCTTTCATCATCACGTTGTTTTGTTTTAGCTATATGTACTCCTGTACAATACCTTTCATGTTCATATTTCACTGTTCATATTACTGTATATTTAACTTGCTTACAACAAAACATTTTATTAACATGTATTTGAATTGTTTATCAGTTAATCAACATATTATATTACATGGCGTGGTACTCTTGATGGTGCTTTAGTAGCTATCAGGTAGGTTTACTTGTATATATTGTGTCATGACATCCCTTATAGCTTCACCTTCCCCGGTAGTGCAAGAATAAACTGGATCAGGGACATTTTGGTATTCAGTCTCCATCGATCTTTTTCTTGCAACTTGACTTCTCACAAGTTCTTCATCAATGGTATCATTATGAAGTTCACAAACGTTATGGAGTACAAAACATGATAAAACAACTTTTGGAATTGTTTCATGTTTTAGGTCCATTTTTCTTGTAATAATCAACCACCACGCTTTCAAATGACCAAATGCGCACTCTATGGAGTTTCGGGCAGATCTCAACATGTTATTAAAAACCACTTCAGCATCAGTCTTGCATGATTGAAATTCTTTCATACAATGTGGTGTTAAAGGATAAGCAGGGTCACCAATAACATAGTTTGGAATCAGGTTGTGACCAGGTAGTAGATTGTTGAATGTTTGTGGTAGCTCTCCAGATTGTAACTTATTCTTTACAAAAGAATTTGAAAATACCTTTGCATCATGGATGCTACCAGGCCATCTGCACTCTACATCCATAAAATAGCCTTAAAAATCACACACTGCTTGTACACTGATAGAGAAAAACTGTTTATAGTTGAAGTAATCCTGGGATTCAACAACTGGTCTTCGAATTGGAATGTGAGCCAAAAGCCTGTATCATGCCAAATTGTGCTTCAAACTCTGCAACCTTAGCTCTCATTTCACCTTCTGTTTTGGGCAGATGAATATATTTAGGTTAAAGATGAGTAGATATAGCTGTACAAACTTCAAAGACAGTCTTTGATACAGTACACTGGTGTATGCCAAAAGTATTCGCTGTCATCCAGATAGACCCAGTATCGTTTAAATAATACAGTGTGACACCAACTTTTTTTTCAACATATAGTGCAAGATAATTAGGTGATATACCAGGTGTAATAAAGGGTCGAAGTTCTTTGCACAGTTCCGTAAACCGTTCTCTGGACATGCGGAAATTCCTTTTCCAGTCACCTGCCGGTGATATTCCGTCAATCATATTTCTCCACCAGGCGTCAGTCCTTCCATTTTTTACCCTAAGCGATCGCTTCCTTCTCAGCAGTCTTCTCATCCTGATGTGTCGAGCTTTTCTTCTAGCAATAGTTTGCTTAGTGGCATAGTAAATCATTATACTTTTGTTTACATGCTGTCGGTAAGCCATGTAAACATATAGCAAGCCATGATTGTAAACATATAGCAAGCCATTGCTATAAGGCAAAATTGACGAAAACGACAGGGGTCCATATTTGAAATTCAAATATAAAGATTGGCGGTATTTATAATTTTATAATTCCCACCAAATTTTAAGCCTGCCCTGCAGGTTAACATTTCCCATGTAATCGCATGTTTCAACTCGTCCCGGCAAAGTGAGTCAACTCGCTTAGCCGGGAAAACTCGCCTCATGTAATTGGACCCTTATTGGCTGATTTCTCTTGTGCTGTTAAAATTAAGGGGGGGGGGGCGGGGGATTGTCAAGGGGGAATTCTTTATTTTGTACATTATCTTAGGGACCCCTAGAAAGTCATTTTAGGCCATCCACATATGTGACCCTGTAAACCACAAAGTCGCATCAAAAGTTATGCCAATCTTGAGCCATATTTCTCTATTTAGGTAAATGCTGTTAGGCTGTAAGGAATTTTATGATCAAGACAAGATATAGCTCTCCCTATTTCTACCTTAACTTAGTCGACTAGATACAAAAAAGCGAAAATATAGGACACACAAAACGCATGGCAAACTTCATGTGAAAATGGCACTAATTAAGTCTTAATTATGTAATTGAAACATAAGCGGGAGCAAAATGCTTAGCAACTGACCACTGTGCATTACAACAAATGTTGTTGTTTCAACTAACTTATTCTTGAATTGCACTCACCCATTTACAGATACACTTTTAATTTGCTGTTTATTGTCATTGTTGACAATACAATTTTGGTTGCATTGTTCAATTTGTAGTTGTTGAAACAGTTTGTTGGGTAGTGAGTTAAAACACTTGTTGTGTGGTACAAATAACATAATCAGACATTAACATGAAGCATGAATGATTAAATAAGAAGAATATGTTAATCAATTCCACATTGCTTCCATTTCTAGGAAACAACTCCTTCATATTGAAGTAGTCTGTGAACTCTTATCTTCTTAGCATTTGTAATGTAATTATTGCCATAATGGAGGGTTACATCCGGCCATGATGATGGTGGTAGTTCAGATCTCCATTGTCGTGGAGTAATTTCTCCAGTATAGGTATCTTCCAAATCAATAAGTGATGAAGGAATATCAGGGCTGTGTAATAAAAATAAATATACACACATGTCAATACATACCATATAATACATATTGTTATGTAGAATCATACATGCAATGCATGCATGTGTGTGTGTTGCTCTTGTTTGGAGACCCTAGGCCAGACCACCCCCAGGCCTTATTAGACAGGTTCAGATTTGACTTCCACTACCGCTACCTTAAATGTGTTACGCATGTGCAGTAACTGCAAGAGCGTGAGGAAATCGTCGCATGTTTTTGTTTTGGGACAGTAACAAAGCAATTTATGGTCGTCGGGAGAACCGTTCAAAAGGCAAGTTGTTTTTAATAAATATACACAAGAATGTTGTGTTTCTATAATATCTTTCTGCTTTCTGTTTTGTTTATTTGTTGTATTTATTTCTATTTAATATTATTTAGGATTTTTTTAAAGTTGGTTGAAACAAATATGAGTGAAATGAATAATATAGACTTGGCTTATTTGGAGGAAGAAGAAAAGGATCAAAATAGTCTGTAAGTACATATGTATTTCGAAAAGTTTATTTAATTACTGAATGGTTCAATGTGACTTACATTCAACTATTATTTCTTCGTATAGAACAGCCAAAAAAACGAACAAAATTTTGGTGGAAAACTACACATGATGTGTGGCTTTTGACCGAAGTAATTTCCATCGAGCCTTATAGATGGAAACATGGCTCTCGGGAGCGAGGAGATGCTTTCAGGAATATAGCAGTAAATTTGACAGAGATACCAAGCTCCGGTTTCCCTGCAAGCCTTAACCAACGTTCAGTGCGAACCAGGTTTTTTGAACTTGTCGAAGTGTTCAAAAAACAAGAAACACAAGAAGCAAGAGCAACCGGCATGGATACCTAGTTTCACGAAAAAACACAATTGTTGACGGATATACACAACCGTATGGTTGAATATGAAAATGGTTTCCTGCAAGAAAGTCAATTAAAAAAAGATAAAGTAGAAAAGGAAAAGGCGACAGCCAAGGAAATGCGGAAAAAAGCATGCGAAAAACTGGGCAAAACAAAGAAAAGGCAAGAGCAAGAAGATACTTCTGGTCCTGCCAGAAAGAGGAAAAGCACAGAGTTTCTTGAATACCTTAAATATAAACAAGATACCAACAAGGAAAATACCGAGAAACAACTGAAAATTCGTGAGCAAGAAATAATTTTGGAAAAACAAAGATTGGATGTACAGGAAAACATGCAGAATCAAATGGTCGAGCTAATGAAAATGCAGCAGGAATCACAAAAGGCAATGTTCAATTTATTTGAAACATTTATGAATAAGTTCAAACAATCTTAATATATAAGACGGTATAGCTGTTCCACTTGAAAGTCTGTTGGGTTTAAAAAATGTTATTCAATTAATTGTATTAATTATAGAAAGTATAGAATAATACATAATCAGTCAATTTAAATTATTTATTATGTACATTATTTATTTGGACATATGAACATATTAACCTTTCAATGTATTTGAAATATGTTCTTTGTATATGTTAATAAGTTGTGTATATACCTTCAATACATTAATTTAATTTTTTTTCTATGTACAAAAGTCTTTTGGAATTACTGTAACTTTGCTCAGGACAGAATAAGGGGTAAAGAAAAGGGTACCACCACCACAGGCTTAGCATAGTGGCATTCCAGTTCCCAAGCCTACGACTTTGTGTATGACCCCTTGTAACAACACAATTTATATGGATTGACTAAAGTATTCATCTATAGTTGGGGGATTCAGTCCATAGTAACTTGCTGTATTAGAACCCTGAAGGCACACTTTAGCATTATAAATCAAGCATGAAACTGCGTAAATCTTTGCAACTGATTGTAGACCAATTTTAAGATTTTTCTTAAAATCATTAAAAGCAAAGTACTTCACGATTTCTCCAAATGGCCACTTCACACAAACTCTAACAGCACTCATGGATTGATTAAATTGTTTCTGGGCATCAGTTAGGTTTACCCCTTTGTATGGGCTCTGCAGATGAACCCTATGAGGATATGCCGGATCACCATATATGGCTATAGGGTTACCATTACCATCATGGGAATACACCTCCAGTTGGGGGTACAAACCTGACATCATTAGCATTGCAGCATCATGACGTTTGCCTTCTGGAAAAATACATGTGTATTTGATTTCATTAAATACTTACCTACAGGCCCATAAAGATGAACAATTAGTCCTATTGCAGCATTTACAGCCTGCCATTTAATGGCATGTACCCTTTTATGACCGTTGTACATAACATTCTGGTGCAACTTTGGTCGACTGATTGGCCGTACCTACATTTATAAAGCAAAACTGTTTGAGCACAGTATTTATGACATTTCCCCTGAATTTATTATGATTACTTCTCTACAATGCCATATCGCACAACATAACCTTAACTACTTTACTGTGCCATCAACAAATCCCCATACATTATCAAGGGCTGCCCCTTTCTCGTGAACAGCCCTTGCCATTTCGTTCAACCTTTCTGGAGCCAGCCAAGGTACATTTAGGTTATTTAACAGCGAATGATGCTGGTTGAATACAAAATCAAGAGCACTGTTGATTACCATACTCAACTCGGATTTGGACCGACCAAACATTTGAACCATATCAGTCAAACGATTGGGATAGGCTAGTCGACGTAAAAGCATGCATAATCCTTCCAATTTGCTAGCAACAGTGCCATTCTTGCACACAAAACAATCAGGTAACCGCAGCGCATTTGCCAAGTGAATAACGTCGGCCTTCGTGAAACGGAAATTAAGTACACACATTGCAGTAGTTTTCTAGTTCAAACTGCAAATAATTACAGTGAGGTATTGGGTTCAAGCCTTCTGTTAAATATAGGAAAAACCCAAGCATTTCATCATCTTCTACGTCTCCTTCTTCGCCCGCTAAAAACAGAAGCTGTTCTTCCCCCCTCTTAAAGCCGCCATCTTGCTTTTATCAAACGTCGTAAATCACCGAAAAGCAGTTGCAAATGGAAGTCTAATCTGAACAGGTCTAAACAGTCCGTCGCGACCGCTACCAATGGAGCCGTCAAAGGTAGTGGTAGTGGAAGTTGAATCTGAACCTGTCTAATCTTGATCATAGAACATCAGTTAAATTCATTGTGTATAGATAGAACATTATTAAATGCTAATTAGTGCTTTGCTAATTTTTTAGAAACATTGGAGAATTTTATAATGGCAAACAGACACTGCCGTCTTCGATTGGAACCCCAAAACAGAAATGCTGATCGAGATATTTCACATATTGTTGAAGCCTGCAGAAGATTTAAATGGTTGAAGTGTAAAATGGTTCCTAGTTTAATATTGCTTTCTTTTGGAATGTGAGAAATCTGGCATAAAAAAATTATAGTAAATCTGACAATATGGGCTCATGGAAGAACAGCGTAATATCAGGATGAGGACTTTAACCTAGAAAATGATGACAACAGTGAGAAAGGTGGACAGCCGTTAATAATGAAGCAAATTTATTATAAAATTACTCCTCTCCAGATGTTAAAAAGACTTTATCATTCCTAGATGGTACATACTATTATTGTTCAAGATTTGTTGCATTCTTTCGAGAACTGAAGCAAACTAAGCAAGCTTTTTTTAGATTATTCCCATCTAATCTTTCTTCAATACATGTTTGATGGTATGGAACATCCTGTTGATCCATCTCCACACATAAATTGTAAACAGTTCAAACCCTTATGGCTATGTGTGTACAAAGGAAAGTACAGTCTACACTTTACAAAGTGAAGCTTCTAATCAAACACCTAAACTGGCATATCACAATGTTTATCAAACCAAGGGAGAAATCATGAATACTGATTCCATCACTGACCTGCCAGAACTCATGGACAAGCAAAATATGCCAGGCATGAGCATACCCCCCGAAATATGGCAACTAACACATATTTGTTGATTGTCCTGTTAGAGCCGTGCAAGCAACAATAAATAAACCAGGATGAGCAGCCATTTACTCATTTATTAGAGGTTACAGGTACACCAGAGTTGAGATCTGTCTTGGTGTTTGATTGGCAACTCCATGATTTGACCACATTTTGCTTGGACCCTCAGGAGAAGTCTGTTGTTGGAGCTGACCCAACATTCAATCTGGGAAGATTTAACAAAACAGTAACTTCATTTCAAAATCTCAAAATGGTAGACAGAGTGAATGGCGATCACCCAACAATGATCGGTCCCCTTCTCATCAGTCAAACAAAATACATACATACAATTCATACTGTACTAAGTATAAACTCAGGTTAGTTGAGCTTAGCATTGGAACCGAGCTAAAGTTACTAAATGGTATAAGCTGTAGAACGGCTTGATATTTATAAGAGTTTATTGTCAGTTTGTAATATGTGATATCAAAATATTAAAATTACAACATTGGCCACAAGTTGTAGATTATTGGTTAAAAGAGGCAGTCTGATTATGTCAACTTATTAATTTAGTGACCAACCCTTACCCATTCAGGCCTTCATCATGAAGAATTGTCTGGTGTTTATAGATAGCAAAATATGAAAGCAGGGTGTATACATAGTAAAATACGAAAGCAAGGTGTATACATGATGCATCATGCATCAACTCATCAATTATGTACATTGCGACATGTGCCCAGTGTCTCAGACTCCCAGGGCTTTTGGAATGAGAAGACCCTGGGTATGTCCGTGAGCACTCTGTTCATTGTTATTAAATTTATACTTCTAACAGCACATGTTGTTCACACATGCGATAGTGTAATTGGGCACAAATTAAACTACAATCTTGGCCATAAACTGTAGGACAATGATAAATTTTTATGCATTTTTGAGGCCTAGCTCCCCTCCCCCCATTCAATGTTTCCATTTCATCTATATTTATGGTCTGACATATCATACAGACAAAATTGTATGTGTACTAGAAATGTGGGAAAGCAACATTGAATGGGGGGGAGGGGGGGAGGATGTGTAATATGATTTTAAAACCCAAGTATATTAAAAAGTTGCAAATTTGTTCGGCCGTTCTACAAAATTTTGTCCAAGATTGTATAAAAGCTGAAAAAGCTATTGCACTGAAATATCTTTTATTGTATTCAGCAAGGGCTAACTTATATTTTGATATATAACATTTGAATGTCTGTGCAACATTTACTGAGCCATCAACATTTTAATTTGAAAAAATATTTGACAATTTTAAAAATTTGCATAAAATTGCCTGTCAAATATTATTTGGTTAAGCTTGATATATAGTATTGTGGCCACGAGGACAAATGAAAAACATAATTGTTGGATAACAAATTTATTCATTTGTCTTAGAAAGTATGTCCTTTTTCACATATACAATGTCTTGCAGGGGAAACCATAAAACCCAAACCGTGCCTCAAACTGGAAGAAATTCAAGCGATCTTGGGATAACTATGCTATAGTGGCAAGACTTAACCGATTTGAAGATGAATTCAAAACAGCAACGTTCCTTTCATGCATCGGCGAGGACGCAATGGAAATTTTTGAGGGCTTAGATTTTGCCTCGGAAGAAGGCCGGACAAAATTTGACATTGTTGTAACCAAATTTAAAGAGTTATGCTTAGGTGAAACAAACGAAACCTATGAGAGATTCATTTTCAACAGCAGACAAAAGAATGAAAACGAAACAGTCGACCAATACGTAACAGCACTGCGAACATTGGCACAATCTTGTAATTTCTGTAATTGTTTACGAGATTCTTTGATGCGCGATCGCCTGGTCATAGGAATCAACGATAATGCAACTCAAAAAAAGCTATTGCAAGATCGAAAACTCACCTTGACAAAAGCCATCAACATCTGTCGCAGTAGCGAGACCACGAAGAAACAAGTCAAGAAAATCCAGGCGAACAGCGAAGCAAATGAGGGCGAAATCAACGCCATTGTAAACAACAAAACCGGAAGCACAGGAACACGGACTTGATAGGCGTGACGGGGGGCGTGACAACAAAATTAAATGCAAATATTGTGGAACAGTGCACCAACGAAAAAAGGAATTATGTCCTGCATTTGGAAGCCGCTGCCGGAATTGTGGTCGCGAAAATCACTTCGCCAAAGTTTGTATGCAGAAAGGAACATTTCCCGCCAAAACCCACTTCACGCAGTAACTGAAAACGACTCAAGTGATTCAGGCGACTCGCTTATGACTGTCGAACTACACCCCACCGAGAATGATACCATCAATACAATACACCAACCGAACATTTACAAATCACGGATTTTTGCTACCATGAAAATAAAAGGGAGGAACACAACCAAATTTCAAATCGATACAGGGGCAACCTGCAATGTCCTAAAAAAGAGTGAATTAAAAGGCACTAAATACGAACGGCGCATCAAACCTACGGCACATGTTCTAAAGATGTACAACAACTCATCACTCACACCCCTTGGAAAGTGCAAAATACAAGTACAAGACCCAATTACAAAGCAAAAGTTCAAAGTACCATTCACTGTTGTTGATGACCAGAATGCAAAAAGTAACCTTCTTGACTGCCACACCGTGCAACAAATGAATTTGATTCAAATTCATGTCGATCAAATTAATGAAGACCTGACTCGGCCTGATCAAATGGGACTGACAATGCAAAACGTCAAAGACATATACCAAGATGTTTTTGAAGGTCTTGGCACCTTAGGTCCAGCACTGCATCTTGAAGTTGATCCTGAAATGTCGCCTGTCCAACTCCCACCCAGAAAAATCCCAGAGTCGCTGAAGCAACCGTTGCGAGAACATTTGGACGAACTTGTCAAGCTTGAGGTCATAGAACGAGTAGACTATCCAACAGACTGGGTCAGCGCAATTGTTGTTGCACCAAAACCCAATGGCAAAATTAGATTATGCCTCGATCCCAGACCACTCAATAAAGCGCTGAAACGATGCCACCATCCAATACAGACAATTGACGACGTACTTCCAGAACTGTCCAATGCAAAAGTCTTTACCAAAGTCGACTGTAGCAACGGATATTGGCAAGTAGAATTAGACGAAGAGTCGTCTCTTTTAACGACGTTCAACACTCCATTTGGACGATTTAAATGGCAACAGATGCCTTTCGGGATCTCCCCTGCCGGAGAGATTTTCCAGTAACGACTAGACCAGGCAATTGATGACTTGGATGGTGTACGGACTGTTGCTGATGACATTTTAGTAATAGGAAATGGAGAGACGATGCAGGAAGCTGTAGCCGACCATGACAGAAAGCTCAAGGAACTATTCGACCTCTGCAGAGCTAAACATATCAAGCTTAACCCAAACAAGATTGAGTTGAAGAAGACCTCAATGCCATACATTGGCCACATTCTTACCTTTGATGGTGTCCAAGCGGATCCTGCTAAAGTACAAGCCATACTAGAAATGAAGCAACCCACAGATGTGGCTGGAGTCAGGAGAATCCTCGGAACAGTTAATTATCTTGCCAAGTTCCTTCCCCACCTCTCACAAGTATCTGAACCACTACGACAACTCACAAAAAAGAATCAGCCTTTTGATTGGGACAAATCGCATGAAACCGCTTTCACCCAAATAAAGAAATTGATCACAGAACCGCCAGTCCTCAAGTACTATGAGTCAACCAAACCCCTGATAATACAGTGTGACGCTAGCGACCATGGCCTGGGGGCCGCACTCATTCAAGAGGGAAAGCCTGTCGCATTTGCCAGCCGAGCATTGACGCATGCGGAGAAACAATACGCTCAGATAGAAAAGGAACTGTTAGCTATAGTTTATGGAACCGAGCGTTTTCACCAGTATACATGTGGCCGACCAGTCACAGTAGAATCAGACCACAAGCCGCTCGAAGTCATTCATCAGAAACCTCTGTCAGCAGCACCTAGACGTCTTCAAAAGATGATGATGAGATTACACGAATATGACTTAACCATCGTTTATAAGAAAGGGTCAGAGATGCTGCTAGCTGACACACTCAGTCGTCACCATTTAGACAACTCCACCGACGAAGCACGCAGCGTCAACAGCGATCTCGACCAAGTGGACAGTTTGGAAGAAATCAACGAAATACTAAATTGTGAAACAACAACCATATTCCAAGACCACACAACAAAAGATCAAGACCTACAGCAAGTCAAATCATTCATCCAGTCAGGATGGCCCGAGAGCTCCAAAGATCTATCTCCAGCAATCACCCCAATCACCCCGTACTTCCATCTACGAGACGAACTAACAACACACGAGGGCCTCGTGTTTAGGGGAGACCGCGTCGTTATCCCAAAATCACTACGAAAGCAAGTACTGAATGAATTGCATGCAGCACACCAAGGGATCGCATCGACAAGTCGGCTAGCCAGAGCAACCGTCTACTGGCCACACCTGAACCAAGAATTGAAAGACCACATCTCACATTGCATCACCTGTGACACATTCAATTCCAAGCAGCCGAAAGAACCTCTCATCCCGCATGAAATACCAAAGAGAGCATGGGCAAAATTCGGTTGTGATATCTTTGAATTTGAAAAGAAATCGTATTTAGTAACAGTGGACTACTACTCGAACTTCTTCGAAGTTGACCGCCTTGAAAAATTGACATCACTGGCAGTCATAAAGAAACTAAAGCCCCATTTCGCCAGGTTCGGTATTCCAAATACTCTCGTGACAAACAACGGCCCACAATTCATCAGTGATGACTTTCGAGACTTCTCTATGAAGTACCAATTTGAGCATATAACGACCAGTCCCTATCACCACCAATCCAACGGCAAAGCCGAATCTGCCGTCAAGCAAGCCAAACGAATAATTCGAACATGCAAATCATCAAACGATGACATTTACCTTGCCCTCCTTGCCCACCGAAACACCCCCCAAACAACTCATGAAACAAGTTTAACCGCCGTACAAAGACTCTCTTGCCCGTCTCGGAGAAGTTGCTCCAACCGAAGATAAATCCGCAAGCAAACAAACGCATCCAACAAAGACAACAGCTCCAAAAGAAATACCACGAGCGTGGCGCAAAAGAGCTCAGCCCGTTGCGGAAAGGAGAAGTGGTGAGACTACAGCCAACCCGAATCGGCGAAAAGAAATGGAAGAGAGGGATAGTCGTACGCAAAGCCGGGATAAGATCATATGAAGTCCAATGCAAAGGGTATACCTATACTAGAAACAGAAAATTCATCCGACGATCAAGGTTACCTGCAGAATTCGGTAGTGACAACGCAGATGAAGAGATGTCAGACATGTCCGAAGCGGAAGAGAACGTTTCTGTACCTACTGACAATGATCTGCCCACAAGAAAACCCTCAACCAGCACACTTAGAACGCAATGAAACAAGTACCGAAACAAGTTCTACAAGCAAAACACGTAGTGGACGGTTAGTTAAAAAACCTGACAGGCTAGGTATAGACACATAAGGGAACGCGGTATATATACGGTATATTTATAAAGAAAAAACTTTCAGAGAAGAGGAGATGTTGGACATTTACTGTTGACATTAATATTTTAGTTATATTTGCTCGGACAGGGAAAACTGGGAACGAACGAAAAGGGCGCGAAATAGTTGTAGGACACGGGATTTTAGAGATAGAGTATATACATGTTAGGAGTTTATATTATGCGAATTATACTATAAGAAATAAAACTATCAAAAGTTAATGAAAGTGAGAAGCAAATAACAATAGATACACTGTTAATTTGAAGGTGTTAAAATAGCACCTTCCTAGGTGTTAAAATGACACCTTGTGGTGGTGTTAAATAAAAAGTGTTAATCTAACACCAATTTGGGTGCTGAATTAACACCATGAAGTTGGGAATTGATTTTGAAGTGCTAAATTAGCACCATAGATATTTAACACTTTTCTAGGGTGTTAAAATAACACCCATTCTATTGAGTGAAAGTGTTAAAGTAGCACCGTTTTGAGAGTTAAACTTAGGGTGTCAAAATAGCACCTCGTGAACCGGTTTTCAGATTCAAAGTGGCGGACCACGTAGGAGCGGTTTACGTTTTTCAGACAAGTAAATGGGGCAAAGGATCATATTTTTACATATTATCGCTTTTAATGTAATCCTTGTAGGGCCTCATTGAAAAACTAATAAAAAATAATCGAAGCAATCTGTCATTTTGGTGTTAGTGATGTCAGGAAAGTGTGCAGTGATAAACCGGCAATAAAAATATGCAGTGAAAAGAAATTGTGTGGTGATGACAAAATATGTTCATGCAAGGGAGATATAACAAGACAGCTAGAATTTTAAAGTTAAGAGTCTCTGTCAAAAAAACTTAGAAATGCAAGTTTATTTGCACTGGATTGCTCACATGATTGAGATCAGTGCCTTCAGAAGGGCCTCCCAGAGGGCTTAGCGAGCACATTTCTAGCGCGTCGCTTGGAAATTTTAATTTAACGTCGGTTGATAAAGCCAAGATTTCTTAAATTATAGTAGAAAATAAGAAGAAATTCTCCATTGTTTGAAGATTCAGACAATAATTGTAAATGTAAGTGCTCAACTATGTCAATATTTTTAAGTTTCGTGTGTAAATATGTGCCATAAATAGCAATATATTCATGTATATTTTAACCGCCATTGCCGTTGGCCGCATTGTATTTTGTATTTGGTTCAACAATATATTGTTATTAAAATACATTAAAACTTAGTGATATTGCTTTGTATTGACAGGTTATAATTTCAAGCAATAAATACTGTCATAGTATGTGTTCTAAGCAAGTCGAACTGTCGAAATCATGATATATACAGGCTACAAGAAGGTATGAAATATACAATTATATTTACAAGGGCCCACAAAGGAAGGATTGTTCGCTCATACAAAGCCATGGAACTTGCTTTGGCGATTAGATAAATATTAGCTAAATGAGTTAATATTGATACCCTTTCAATAGTGATCAATACATTAAAGTTAACAATATAAACATTTATATTTGTTAATGTATTGATCTATTGAGAGGATATCAATGTTGACTCAATGGCTATTAATATTGATTTAGAATGTAAGGGTGTGTAATCCAAGTGAGAATATATACATTTTAAGACCTAACCAGGAACGACTGCGAAAAATGCAGCACAAGGTCCTCTGGTAGGAATTGAACCTACGGCCCTGCGATTCCGGTGCAGCGCTCTAACCAACTGAGCTACAGAGGCCAGCTGTTAAGCTGTAACCGTAAGTTCATGTATATATAGGTAATCGGGTGTGCGGGTTGTGATAAGGTGGACTTCAATGATGGTTTCTTGCACTTCACTTGGTGGAATTAATTTAGAATGTAAGGGTTTGTAATCCAAGTGAGAATATAGACATTTTAAGACCTAACCAGGAACGACTGCGTTAAAAGTTAAGTATCAAGAGATCTCCTGGTAAATTAATAAATAATGGCCACATGGGCTGAACAATGAATTGAATAATAAACATATTAACAGATTCATCACTACTTTTCCATATCAATCATGTCCATTTAAAACACTGCAACACATTCATTCATATTGTAACCCAATTCCATTTATCAGGATATTAGAAGACTTCCATCCAGACAAATTCCAAAATGGACATTGACCAAAGTCATGCTCAATTTGAATTTGAATTAGAGGGGCTACAACGTTTGCTCGCTCTATCAGACCCAGAATTTGAGAACAACCTATTCACCAACACACCATCCGACTCACCATCCACCATATCAACCAACCCAATTTCGACTTCCACTCCCCCACAATTCACCCCACCTGTTAACACACCAACCAACATATCCCAAAGTCCCAGCACAATGGACACAACCACAACCTCCACCCAGATGCAACCTACAAGTACCCCAATCCAGGCCCCAAATGCCATCCTAACCCCAACCTCAGCCAAAACCACCTTCACTCTAACATTGCCAGCCGACATGAGCCAACCCAGCAATATCCCAACCACATCCCAACCGATCATACCACAAAACCCCCCTAACACACTAAATCACCACCACCACACCTCAACCACCTATCACTTCCAATAACACAACCACCATGTTCAATAAACTTGTTGAACTCCATCACCGCAAGAATGACCATCAACGACAGTTGACCATTCTCAACAAACACATCACAAACCACACCGCACCCGCTGGCCTCAACATCAGCATTCAACCCTGGGTCCAGAGGACCACTCAGAGGAATCATCCAAAATTGATGGGCAAATCTCATCACTTTCCACAAAACTAAACGACAATCTCCCACAGGAGTTGTCTAGCACTATCATCCATATCGCAAGTACTCACAAACCATCATCCAAATGCTAAACAACACCAAAGTCAAACACCAAACATCAACCGAAGCGCCCCAAAACCACTTCACATCCCGCGAAACCTGAAAACAAGCAGGTTTCTCAGAAATGCCACATCACCAACAACACAGGGAACCATCACCTCCCACCTGCAAACCACCATTACGAGTACCACCTCCACCCAGCAACACTACACCACTACACCCGCCAACGACCACAATACCAGCTCCAACCAGCATCATGCATTCCTCCATCAAGCAACAACTGATGGGGAAACAAACACAGTTCCCCACCATATACAACATGTTCATGAATGGAAGACAATAGATTTTTCCTCCATTAACGATCACCACCAATTCAATGGAAATAGTCTAGGCCTGTACATATGATAATCCACACACTACATATAGTTTAATTAATACACAATTGTCACATAAAGATATGCAGTTACAGAATATTCATTAAATTCATGAACATTATAAAGTTGTACAGTGGTTTAATTCATACATATCCACCCTAAACAGTAAACACAGACCCAAAACCCACCTGAAGTGTATCATGACCAACCAGCATAACACCATAGAACGCCTCACCATTCAGCTTTCAAAGAACGAGAAATAAAAGGCAAAAATGTCTGTCGCGGACTCGGCCACAGAGCAAATATCAAAACATTAATATGCATCTCAACCACCATATTTCTCCGTTTTAATACAAATACCGATAAATATTACAAAAATGACAGACAAATTTCGTGGCAGAAAACTTTTTGTCACAAACTGTGCCACGGGTCATTCACACTACTTAACACTCACCACCGTCACATCCATTTCGAACTACCGTTCACCTTTCAAAGAACGAGAAGTAGACGGAAGACAAATTTTGTGGCAAAAAATCTTCTGTCACAAACTCTGCCACGAAGCTATCAAAACATCAATATATCCTTCGCTATCCATTTGAAACAACTTTCAATATTATTTTCAACCGATGTTTCCACTTTTATCAGAGACACATTCACACAACATCGCTACATCCAACCCACTCGAAACTTCCCAGGCCATTCCCTATTCAACACTCTTTAATCCACTATTCTGAGCAGTAATTCCAAACCTAACCCAATCCCCACCAGAACCTTAACCCAAAAACTTATTCCCAACCCTTATAATCCAAACCCCACCCTATCAACTAACCCTACCCTAACTAAGCCCACCCTAATCAAACCCCCTACATTTTAGGACTCGTCTTTCGCCCCCCCCCCGGCGTAATTTTAGAACCCCTCTCCTCCCAAAAATTCTCTTTCGCAACACCCCCCCCCCCGGGCGTAATTTTAGAACCCCTCTCCTCCCAAGAATTCCTTTTCGCCTTGCCTACACGCAGAGTACGGTTCACCACAGTTATACGAGTAAGTAAATTTCAATTTTTACATTCCGAAACCAAAAATCAACACATCACGCATTAGAATCATATCATTTTCACCCACCACAAAGCACACATACCAAATTCAACTAACATTCAACACTGTTCCTAGACGAAATAATCAACAGATTTTTTCGCGCAAAACATGTATAATTCATCAAAGGAACAGAAATGAATATTTATATGCGAGCACGTAGTTCCAAGACCAGCTAGCGGGGTCGAAACGTGCTTTCCCGGTTATGCTTGGAGCCTGATGAGAACATAACCTTAGTTTTGAACACAAAACACATGGGACTTGACCTGGGTGGCGATACATTGGCATTCACCCAGGTCTTGGCATCATCACAATACATCTCACATTATAAACGCACCCGGGTCATGCCTGCGCGATCTTCAACAAAACAATCAATCGAGTCATACACGTCACAGTTTTACTATTCATGTCTCATTTTAGACGTATGTTCAGACTTATGTATCACTTATATT